GTTAAATTTGAAGTGAATGTAAACTGCTTTAAATATGACTGCTGCTTATTTCCAGTGCACTTCAATACTGGTCTGCGCTTGATTGTAGTCGCGTCTGTCTGCTTATTGAGTTCATTTAACCCATCGCAATTTATTGGAACTGTGTGAACTAGAGTGACCCTGCATTGCAGTGCGAGTGCGCAACAGCTCACGCTGCACACAAGTGCATATCCTTTTGAGATATCAATTATAATAAATTTTAATAAAACACAAGACTACATTATATAACTCTAACAGTAGGCTATTTAATATCTGTTGTTCTCCGGTTGTCAGTCAAAATGACAGTTCTTGCGTGAACATAGGCCTGTATATACCCAAGCCAATTTATTATTCTTTCCTTTTTGTCTTAGTGTTTAAAATTTATTTTGAAACAAATTAATACATTTCTTAATTAAACAAACACACAGACTTACTGGGTGAGCAGGGTAGGCTAAGACAGCTGTCATATCATACCCTGCCATGCCCAGCTGATGCAAAGAATATAATTTATATCTACACAGAAGAAAGTCCTGTCTAGACTCTGCCCCGGTATGAGTTGTGTCGAGCTATTCATTAGCCTGTTTGTTTGATGAAAAAAGACTAAATGTAGTTGCAATAAATGCGTTAAGAATCCATACAACTGCAGCAGCGGAGGACTATTATTCTGCTGCGTGATACTGCAGAAGAACTGATGACAGCACGGTTTGATCTTCGGCTGACCAATCAGTAGAAAGGGGCGTTTAATTCCCGCCCACGTGTAGAAATCGAGTATTCAAGCTGTTTATTCATTTTTCCACCCATGAACGAAAAACGAAAATTTAAGCTGAATTCTCGTTTTTCGTGTTTTGGAAAAAAACGAAAATACGAAAAAGGAGCCGTTTTCTCATTTTTCTACTTTCAATATTAAATCAAAAAACGAATGATCGAATGATACACGGATTCACACAGACTAATAGTTGCCATTGGTGGTCTTTTTTTTTCATTCAAACTTATCTTTCTTAAACTTATATACAAAAGAGGCTAATGGAGAAAATGCAGATGTGCATGTGTACCTCGGTAGCGTTTTGCCTTTTTATCTACTATTTCTTACATATTCTAAAAGAATCAGACAATACAGTGGCCACAAAATATATTTGGGCTGTTAGAATGGACAAACGTGTGTCTTTGCAAATATCAATCCATTATATAAAATGACACCTGTGTACTTGAAACTGACTTCATACATCCACGTGTTGTGCTAAAATGTCTCCGAAAAGAAAAGTTCCTGAGAAAAGGTCTGACATAATTTAATTGCAGCAGAAATTCATAGATTTATAACTGAAGATTAAATAAAATAAATAAATAAAAAACAACAAAAAAACATGAAAATATAATCTAATTCAAAATATTAACCATAATATAATAAAATAACACTGGTGTCCAGATACATTTCGGGGCCACTGTATGTGCCTTGTGTCTAAGAAAATGCATTGATGAATAAAGAATGACTGAAGTGAATGCAGGATGTGAGATCACATCATCAGTGTGACAGCAGAGGTGAGGCAGCTCTTGGGCCTCCATCCAGCAGCTGACTTCATGTGTGGCTAAAAGCCACAGATCACTTGGAATGTCTGGAGTCCGTTTGCATTTCCCAAACTCTCGAAACATGACCACTTTTGAATGTAACTCAGAATTCGAAGCATCTCATCCAAACTAACACGTTTTTTCCGACCCAATCAGAAGTAGGTCAGTTTCACAGAGAGGGCTGTCTGCTTCACTGAGGTCAAATAATGATAGAATTCAAAGGCATTACTGTTTAACCAAACCTTCTTTTGCACTGACCATCAGATCTACTTCATCCTTTCTCTGCGGTTGCTGCGTTAGTGTGAGTCACTGCTGAATTGTTCACTTGTTCCCGTAATACTGTTCACAGGTGCTTGAGAAGTACCCCAACACACCGATGAGTCATAAAGAGATCCTGCAAGTGATTCAGAAAGAAAGGCTTAAGGAGATAAGGTGAGGTCATTCTACTGATGTTTGCTGAGTACTTCTTTATTAAAATAGCCATTTCTTTATCACACACTCTTTACTACTTCTAGCTCAGATTGTGCAGGCTGCCCCTGAACTGTACCACATCATATACATCTTTTCTTTATAGTTTTTTTGTCTTTTTTTCTAATTTAATGTGGCCACATATCTAATTGTCACATCTCTTTTTTGTTTCATTTCTCTGTTGTCTTCCAGAAGGTAAGATTATACAGTAGTACACCCTCCCCTCCAACTAACTTAAATCCATTAGCCAATCCCTGTGCATGTTATTAACATTTCCCCAGTTGACATGGCATGCAAAGGGACTCCCAAGAGCGAGGACCTAATGGCCATGGCTTTGACCAGAGTGCTTGTCCTCAGAAATGCTTAGTGGCTTGTTGTGCTTCTGCTAGATTTGCTCTGTTTGAAGATGCTACATAATAACGACGTACTAAATGTGTTTAACCTCCTTAAACCTGTATTTTTATCATTGTGATTTATTTTGTTATAGGCTAAAACGTTAATCAGATTTCTTGAAAAGACAAATAGTACAAAACAAAAATATAACTACCTTAGTGTTGTGATCTTTAAAACTAAAACTTAAAAAAAAAAAAAAAAACTTTTTATGAATTGAAACAAAGCTGAAATAAGATAAAATGTAAATTGGATGAAAAACTGAAAATTACAAATATTGCATTGACAACTAACTAAAATATGTTTATAAGTTCAAGCACTAAATCACTTACTGCAAGTAAATAAAAGCTAAAACTGAACTGTCTAAAACCAAAACTGAATAAAAACAACAATATATTTAACCAAAATAGTAATACAAAAAAAATATTATAAAAAGTATTCCTTTCACATACAAACTATACATGTTATTTATTTATTTTTGGCTTTACATTTACATGTATATTTTCTTTGCATACAATTGAAAATTTGAAAGATTGTCTTAAAGGGATAGTTCACCCAAAAATGAAAATTTGATGTTTATCTGCTTACCTCCAGGGCATCCAAGATGTAGGTGACTTTGTTTCTTCAGTAGAACACAAACTAAGATTTTTAACTCAAACTGTTGCAGTCTGTCAGTCATATAATGGAAGTGAATGGGAATCACGGCTTTGAGAGTAAAAAAAAAACATACACAAACAAAACCAAATTAAACCCTGCGGCTCGTGACGATACACTGATGTGTAAAAGACACGAAACGATCAGTCTGTGCAAGAAACTGAACAGTATTTATATAGTTTTTTTTTTTTTTTTTACCTCTGATGCACTGCAATGTCTGAACAGTCCTGAGAGCGTCCTCGACAGCCGGCCACGCCGCGCTGCGTCTTCTTCTTCTTGCTTTACGGCACATCGCAGACTTATAAGTGCATTACCGCCACCTATCTCTCAAATGGACCATTGACACTCCTAATTGAGATTGTAGATATGTCAATGGTCCATTTTAGAGATAGGTGGCGGTAATGATAGATTGTTTTGTAGAAGTTTAGACTATCCTAGTATAACTTACCTGTATTTTTTGCATTTTGCTGCACAGTTATAAATGGAAGACATAAATTTTTTTTTTGGGCATATTCAGTCGTTCAGACTACTTGTAATGTAGCATGTTTTCAGTATTTTTTTATATAAAATAATTTTACTTCATTTAAATTTATATTGACATACATGCTAGGGGTGTAACGGTTCACAAAATTCATGGTTCGGTTTGATATGACACAGGGGTGTCACGGTTCGGTATGTTTTCAATACAGCAAAAACAAAGAAATGCCAGACAAATTTCCTTGATTTTTCCTTTTTCTTTCTTTCTTTTTTTTTAAACTAGCATCATATGATCTTAAAAATATTTTAGACTTTGGAAGGCCTTTTGACTTTTGCCGTTTATCTAAGATGATTTTGGAAGCTTTTTTAACATTCGTTTTTTTATTTATTTGGTTCCACCGTGTTTGCTGATTTTCAGTGTTTTATATTTAAACTTTGTGTAAGTTATTTGTTATTTTATATTAGGCCTATAGCATGTTGTGTTTGTATTTGTTTTGTTAATAAATGAAACATTCTATGTTTAATGCAAGTGAGTTTATCGTACTGGTTTGTTGTTGTCAATTCAATCAATTGACGCCGAAATGCCGTTAGTTCGAACGTGAAAGTAAAATGCGCACAAGCATTTACAAGCTATTTAAAAGCAAATAAAAGCGAGGAAAAGAGGGAAAACTCTTAACGAACTACCTCACCGTCATAACCTGGAGTACATTATATTTCACACACTTTAAGCTCTTTTTTTCCCCCAAATGTAATAGGATTACTGTCTCCAACGAATCGTTCGGTTTGTAATGCGTAGGCTACTGAACCGAAAGCCTCGTACCGAATGGTTCAATACGAATACGTGTATTGTTACACCCCTAATACATGCTCAATTACCTGGAAATTAATCACTGAACCATGATCTTTGTTGCAGCTTTTCAGTTGTGTGAAGAGGGCGATTGATTTAATCAGCTGATTTATTTTATTTTATTTTATTTTATTTTTTTAGTGTGTCGTCGCCTCTTGCCTGTCTCAATGCCATGCTCCATACAAACTCACGCGGAGAGGAAGGGATCTTCTACAAGGTCCCCGGCAGAATGGGAGTCTATACACTGAAGGTAAACATGCTTAACCAGAACCAGAATCTCACTGCAACTCTCACAGAATAATTGTTTCTTACCTGTGCTCATTTTCTGTAACTCAACATGGTGCTAGCATCACAACAATCATAGATTCAATTTTCAGAAGATGTACAGAGCGCAACAGTTGGGTTCTGGAAATAAAAAGTCATTTTCCCCATGAGGAAAGTACTTTTAACGATAATTGGTAAACCTTTAAAGACAGACCTGTTGTGAGCTCCAAGGTTATTACTCGATGGTATGTGCTTTTGTGGAAGCCATCTGTTCTCATTATTTCAGCTTATTTTTAAAATAATCATGTTTAACAGTAGAATTTGTTGACAGCCATGATGCTACAGATCTCTGTAGTGAACGCGCTCTCCCATGAAGCACCGCGAAGGACGAAACCGAGATGGTCTCCTTACTCTCAAAACTCAAAATACACAAAAAATTACATATTTCACCATTGTTTTTAATTTGATTAAGTAATTTGCAATGCATTGAAATTGAAGTTCTTTCCTTCACTAAAGTTGTTAGGTACACAAGTCTTGTACCACTGTCTTTTTGCCTGATTTTCAAATACTTTTTGCTTCAAATATAAATTTGTAATGTTGTGATTCACCTCGTAATGTTGTGTTTCACCTTCATGGCTTATAATGCTTTAACAAAGCATTTTTCAAAATCCCTATGGGAAAAATGAATGGAAAAAATACTTCAGGAACCAACTCTGCTGAAAAAGTGAGCGGACACTATTGCACTATACTGCTAACATGTCTACCGTGAATGCATTGTAAGTTGCATTGGAAAAAAGTGTCTGAATAAAAGTAAATATAAATGTGGGTTTTCTCTTGCTTTGGTTTGTTCATATGGTGCTGAATGACATGAATATTTACTGTACTACTGCTATAATTAATGCTCAGTTAATGGTAGCATAACAGTCCGCACTTCTCCCAATGATCTATTAAATGTATTAATTAACGTTAACTGTTTGATCAGATTCAAATCAGCTGTTTTATTGGAAATTAGTGTTAGGCATGTGATGTGTATGGCTTGTGTTTGTATGTGAGCAGAAGGACATTGGAGATGTGGTGAAGGAACTGTCAGATGATGCTTCAGAGGAAAGCAGTGATAACATGTCTGATACCCAAAGCACAGAAAATACCAGCACCACTACCTATAGCAAAGATGGACGCAGAGGAAGGTGGAAGAGGAGAGGTATCATATTTCAAGAATTCTGAATAGCCACACTTAGAGCTGGAGTGTATACATTTTGCACCCCTAGTGTCACCAAACAGAACTGCAGAATTAATAGTAATTTTTAAGCAGGTTTCCTGAACATTCCACCTGTCTTGGACCACTGAAACAAAGCAATGATATTACCAAAGTGCTACTTACACTTCTAGGGGAATTAGCATACAAACGGCTTGTTTCTGTGAATTAAACTGGGATAGAACAAACTATTTTAACATTTAACATAAAATTTCTTACTTTAAATTAGGGCTGGACGATATGGCCAAAATTGATATCACGATATATTTCTTCATTTCGGTCGATACGATATAATTCCGATATCGATATGAACACTATTTATCTGAAATAGAAATCTTTTGTAACATTATAAATGCCTTTATCATCACTTTTGATCAATTTTAAGCATCCTTGCTAAATAAAAGTATTAATTTCTATAATGTCTTTCCCAAAAAAATTATAAAAATGATACTGAATGGAATAGTGTATAATGTTACAAAAGCTTTTTATTTCAGATAAATGCTGATCTTTGGATCTTTCTATTAAAATCGCGAACAAACGTGCATAAATTAGTCTGATGAAATTCAATAATAATAGCGGAGCCTCAACATTGGATTTGCAGTTCAGGTCGCGGTCTTGATGCCAAACGGGTCGGGTACAGAATTAAATGGGTGCTGGCTGCTGTCGGATAACGGGTCGGGTGTTCTGTTGTGTAGCTACTGCGGATGCAGGTTTACCTAACAGCACCCGTGCAGGACTCTGCTTTAAACTGCTTTGCGTCTCTCCATCAGATAACCTCACGTGCATGATGCGCCATTTACGGGGGCTTATTTAAAATGAAAACTCATTCTCTGCCAGCAGGAGGCGCTTTTAGAGTGATACAACTGGTAATGTATATCGAAATATCGGAAATGTGTTTAAAAATCATATCACCGTTATTGAAAAAAATTATATCGCGATACATATTGATATCGAATTATTGTCCAGCCCTACTTTAAATGCAATATACATGACCATTTAAATGTTTGGGGTTGGTAAGATTTTTTAAAATGTTTTTGAAAGAAGTCGCTTTTACTCACCAAGGCTGCATTATTTGTGCAAAAATGCAGTAAAAACAGTAATATTGTGAAATTATTTTACAATTTAAATGATTTTTCTTCTATTTTAATATACTTTCAAATGTAATTTATTCCCATGATGGCAAAGCTGAATTTTCTAGCAGTCACTAACTACTACACTATCTTTCAGAAATCATTCTTATATGCTGATTCGCTGCTCAAAAAACATTTCTTATTATTTATATATATTTATGTTGAAAACAGTTATGCTGCTTAATATTTTTGTGGAAGCCATGATGCATTTTTTTTCAGGATTCTTTGATGAATTGAAAATTCAAAAGAACAGCATTTATATATATATATATATATATAAAAAAAATTTGTAACATAAATGGAAATTATATACATTTCGTCCAAAAGTTTTTTAGAGGGTGAAGCGTATTTTGTCAAGTTTAAGCCGGTCACAGCAGGGGGCTAATATATAACTACTAATAAAACTTTAAGAAATCTAAAATTGTAGTTAATCAAATCATTGTTAAATCATGCCATGTGTTGTGGCATGGAGTATGTAGATTACATGCTGAACCATGAATGTGTAACTCATATGCTGACTCTGATATGATGTGTATAAATGACCTCGCATCTAAGGGTAGGTGTGCCTCGTTCAAGTCAGAATATTCTTTGAATGCAAAACACCCTCTTAACAGGAAATTCTACTTTTTTTTTTTGCAAAATTGATACCACTTCCTCATATAAATGAGAGTAGTACGAACGAAGCTAACTAAACCAACACAAGTTTTACCTCAATTCATCTTGCAGAAGCTAAATATTTGAGAATAATGCAATCTAAAAGAGTTAATTCATGCAGAACCAAGTACTGTAAGTAAGACTTTCGTCTTAATATGCTGGTGAAACTTTAAAGCTGTGGATTTGAGAAAATTAAGATTGTTGTGTCAGAGAGAGAAAAAAACGAACTCTGCAAAATCCAGGAAATAATAATTGCCGTGACAGCACATTATTTATGGGAGGTAGTTTCATCAAGTGTTTGTCTTTTTAAAAACACACATCCTTTAATAAATGTGCTTGGATGACTATGTAGATATATTACAGTGAAACACATTGTGTTTTCATTTTTAGGGCTTCTGTTCTGATCTCATATATATAAATGTGTTTTTATGCCTTGCAGACTCAAACATTTGGTTTTCTGTTATGGACTGAATAATATGTCACAAAGGAAGTAAAAAAAAAAGTGTATTTATAAATTTATAGTTGTCATGGAACAACGTAATAGCAATGTAATTTCCAAGTGATAGTGCAAATTAAAAACATTTTGTAATAAAACATTTTAAAATATATTTTTTAAATATATCTATTTTTTAATATTTAAAGTATAGACTGCACTAATCCTGTACCTATATTGTACTTTTCAATGTGTTTGCAAACTGGTTGTGCATTTGTATTGAAATGACCTTGAATCATCATGGAGTGAAATTAAGTTTGTGCATATACCTGTTCGATTGTGTGTGTGTGTGTGTGTGTGAGAGAGTATAAATGTCTTTGTGGTACAAACATGCACCCAATGTGTTGCTTTCCTATCATTCTCAGTGCCAGCAAAACTGCAATCTCAGCCATCCTCACCACAGTCTCGCTGTTCATCTCCGTCAGTCTCCAGCAGCAAACTCATGTCCCCATCACAGAAACACAGCAAGAAGGCCTTAAAACAGGTACTGCCAGTTGCACTTATTTGTCTTGGAAGGAGAGGTTGTCAGAGGGTCAGTTGTTGTCCTCATTGATTAAAAGTAGTTAAAAGCTTAAATGTGCACAAAGTCATTTTTTGTTTTGCTGGCATTGCTCTTGAACAGCAGTGGTCTTGAAATTGAAGTGAAAATATCAGTGAGGAATCTGTATAACACAGAAGCAAATATACTCAGAAAGTATATAATGCTTATAAAAAAATACCCTATATGGTGTACTTGTCTCCCAGGACAGTATTCTGCAACCGAAAGTGTCCAATAATAGAGGGGTTACAGAAATAAAATGAGTAGTATTTGGCATGTCATGTGATCTCAATGTGGCAGCAACCATAAAAAGACAATGTGCTGTAGAAAAATACAGATTTTTCTAGGTTTCTGATATTGTAAGAGTCATGTGAATGTACCTAATAGTTAACTTTTTTTAACGTTTATTTTTTAGGAATATACCTTTTTTACAGTGGAAAAAGTTGTGTAACAGTGTGCTGTTAATAAGCAAATTAATCTGCAATATTTGTGTGACTTATGCAAGACTGTGTTCTCAGGTGAGTTCACACCAGAGCTGAGACTGAGAATGCGGCAAGAAATTGAGAAGGAAAAGAAGGTGGAGCTTTGGAAAGAGCAATTCTTTGAGAGTTACTATGGTGAACAGTAAGTCAACCACCACTCTGAAATGCTGAAAAAGAAAATCAGAGAGTATGGTCTAGGACTAGGTCAAGGGTGTCCAATTCTGGCCACGTTTTTGCAGAGTTAATTCCAACACATTTAAGTTTCTAGTGATCCTGACGATATTGATTAGCTGGTTTAGGTTTGCTTAATTAGGGCTGGTGCTAAATTCTAGCATAATGTGGTCCTCCAGGAGTGTCCATGCCTTATTTTGGCATTGTGAAGCCTGAAAATTGATGGAAAATTGGTTAGTGGGCCACTAGTTTAATATATCATAGGTGATGTTTTGTTTTTGAGGTCCTTTTTCATAATATTCTGTCTCTTCTGGCTTTTAATTTCAGATCTGGACTCAGTATAGAGGAATCCAGAGAGCTGACAGAGGATAGGAGTGTTCCTGAACCAGCTAAAAGCACAGTCCTATCAGAAAAGCCAGAGACTGTCAAAGAGTCTCAGAAGGTAAACCCAGTGACAGAGGTCATCCACATGGAGTTGAGATCCAGAGATGTGAAATCAACAGTACCACATGTCTCACCTGAAGAGCCAGTCAAACCTCCTGCTCCAGAGCAATCACGTTTATCCTTAGACACGAGGAAGGATGCAGAGGAAGAACTGATTCCAGAGTCCTCTGTTCAAAAAGCAGTGGAGCCCAAACCTGGCAGTGAAAAAGCACTGGAGAATGAGATCACATGTAAGACCCCAACATCTCCTTTAGAAGCAGTGGTCACCTGTTTGAAAGGAAAGGAGACACAGACCCCTAAAGATGAAAGTCTCGTTGGTGAGGCTGAACAAACAGTAATGGACAGGAATAAAGCTGGATCACCAGTAACTGTTGTCACATCTGAGCCTCTAAAAAGAAAAGTCTCTAGTGAACAGGATACAGAGCTCAGAACAGAGAAGAAGCCCCGTGTCACTTCATTAGGAGCATCATTCACAGTGACAGCTAAAGAAAAAGTAGAACAGAGAGTACCTCCTCTCAAAGTAAGTTTTAGGTTTCTTTCTTTTGAACAAACCCCTAGCCTTAAGTATTAAGCAGTGTTGCACTCCCTGTCTGCACCAGATGAGAGTAATGCGATGCATCAGAACCAATAGAACCTATTAGAATAATTTGTGCTACTTCTGACACAAACGATAATTGGATTTGGAACGTTTGCTTTGATGTTTCCAATGTAGACAGCTTTAATCTGTTGACAATGGTCACACCCAGTGTAGACATGATGTTGCATGCCGTTTGTACTACAGTACCTATATAAATGATGTAGGTGTGTCTTGTATTGTGTGACATATTGAGGAGAGGATTTGCTATCACTTTTCTAAGCAATCAGACTTCTCTATAAATCACCTAGAACACTCTAGCAATCACCTAGGAATTAGGGGTGGGAGAAAAAATCGATCCATCGATGCATCGCGATTCGCTCTCCAACGATTCTGGATCGATTCTGAGAATTTCAGAATCGATCCTGAGCTTAGTTTTTAACCAGATGCGCGATGATGCTGAGTTTGCTTTAGAAACACCCGTATTCTGCTTGCTTCCAATTCCTCACACACATACACCACTCGAACCTTCCGTAAAATAATCTTTCATAAAGTTCGGAAAGGTTGAAGCGAATTACAAGGACATTCGCGGGCTTCATTGCACAAGGATGCGCTGTGAGAGACGCTCGCTTTGTTTGATGTTACACTTGAAGTGTGCGGTCTCGCCCGTCGGTATTTTCCTTACAAATGCTCTATGAAGTCATCATTTATGTGGTTTGGAATGCAGTGGACTTATATATTTAAAATATGAACCTCACTAACAGAAGGCTGCTTTCAGTTACAAATGCTGACGCACGCTATGTTTGTGAAGACTGCTCGTGCATGCACTGCTGTGCGTGACTCCGTGTAAGTGGTTTAATGCACTTGCGTCTCAAAATGGTTTTATGACGCAAAATTAATGTAAACACAGCCAGTTATGTCTTAAGGGATTAAACGGACAGTACAAACCAGATATGCACATTACTAATTATATTTCAAAAGAGATCCGTGTGTGAATGCAGCTTAATAGATCTCCCGCTGTCTATGATGTCATAGTAAAAAACAACAGTAAAGATGAAGAAAAATAGCTCGCAGTTCTTGAATGGAAAACGTTCAGATAATCTTAAATACTGAAAGCACTCTTTGTTTGTTGTTTGTAATATGTTTTTATGCTCCTCTTTATTATTTACTACTTGCTTGTATGTTTTGAATTTATATTAGTTTAAAATTGTTTTACATTTTTTTTCAATTTGTAATTATTTTAAAAGTACTTAATTACTTATTGTAAGGATATGTAAATAAATGTAAGGATTTTAAGATTCTCAAGTCGGTAAACTACACTGAACAAAATTATAAACGCAACACTTTTGTTTTTGCCCCCATTTTTCATGAGCTGAACTCAAAGATCTAAGACTTTTTCTATGTACACAAAAGGCCTATTTCTCTCAAATATTGTTCACAAATCTGTCTAAATCTGTGTTAGTGAGCACTTCTCCTTTGCCGAGATAATCCATCCACCTCACAGGTGTGGCATATCAAGATGCTGATTAGACAGCATGATTATTGCACAGGTGTGCCTTAGGCTGGCCACAATAAAAGGCCACTCTAAAATGTGCAGTTTTACTGTATTGGGGAGTCCGGAAACCAGTCAGTATCTGGTGTGACCACCATTTGCCTCACGCAGTGCAACACATCTCCTTCGCATAGAGTTGATCAGGTTGTTGATTGTGGCCTGTGGAATGTTGGTCCACTCCTCTTCAATGGCTGTGCGAAGTTGCTGGATATTGGCAGGAACTGGAACACGCTGTCGTATACGCCGATCCAGAGCATCCCAAACATGCTCAATGGGTGACATGTCCGATGAGTATGCTGGCCATGCAAGAACTGGGATGTTTTCAGCTTCCAGGAATTGTGTACAGATCTTTGCAACATGGGGCCGTGCATTATCGTGCTGCAATGTGAGGTGATGGTCGTGGATGAATGGCACAACAATGGGCCTCAGGATCTCGTCACGGTATCTCTGTGCATTCAAAATGCCATCAATAAAATGCACCTGTGTTCGTTGTCCATAACATACGCCTGCCCATACCATAACCCCACCACCACCATGGGCCACTCGATCCACAACGTTGACATCAGCAAACCACTCACCCACACGATGCCATACACGCCGTCTGCCATCTTCCCTGTACAGTGAAAACCGGGATTCATCCGTGAAGAGAACACCTCACCAAATTGCTAGACGCCATCGAATGTGAGCATGAGACGGTTTCTGACAGTTTGTGCAGAAATTCTTTGGTTATGCAAACCGATTGTTGCAGCAGCTGTCCGGGTGGCTGGTCTCAGACGATCTTGGAGGTGAAGATGCTGGATGTGGAGGTCCTGGGCTGGTGTGGTTACACGTGGTGAGGCCAGTTGCATGTACTGCCAAATTCTCTGAAACGCCTTTGGAGACGGCTTATGGTAGAGAAATGAACATTCAATTCACGGGCAACAGCTCTGGTGGACATTCCTGCAGTCAGCATGCCAATTGCACACTCCCTCAAAACTTGCGACATCTGTGGCATTGTGCTGTGTGATAAAACTGCACATTTTAGAGTGGCCTTTTATTGTAGCCAGCCTAAAGCACACCTGTGCAATAATCATGCTGTCTAATCAGCATCTTGATATGCCACACCTGAGGTGGATGGATTATCTCGGCAAAGGAGAAGTGCTCACTAACACAGATTTAGACAGATTTGTGAACAATATTTGAGAAATAGGCCTTTTGTGTACATAGAAAAGTCT